TATTGAAATAGTAAAAAGATTTTCCATACCTTGGCTTAGTCATTAATCAGAATGGATGCTACAGTCAAGAAATTGCAAGACTAGGACATGGAAGGGCTTAAAATCCAATTTAATGAATTATTACAGTAAGGTGTGGTGGTGTTTGGTAGTTCAGAGGAGTGGGAAAAATATATAGAGAAATTGATAATTGACAGTCTTCAAAAGCAGATATACTTCTAGGAGAAAATACTGTGGCCAAACAGGAATAAAGCCATTACTTCCATGCTCTGTTTGTGAGCTTGTTAAGGTATCTGTCTGGCCACTTGTAGAAACAGTGCTTGACTAAGTGGACCTTGATCTGCCTGAGTAGGAATCCTCTTATGTTGTTAGGCAACAGTCAAACTCTGCTAAAGCTGTAATGCGTTTGTGTCAGGTGTACCAAAAACTCTTCCATTCATTTCCCCTTTGGTGTCCCTTCCCAATTTGTTTGCACAAACTCATTTTACTTCTGTCTCCCTGCTCCAAACAGAAGTTTCTCTTTTTCTCCCCATTCAGCCAGCTTTCTGTCCTACTCTACCTCTTCCTAAGCAGAGTGGAAGAGAGATCAATGGGCATTTGCTGTCCAGTCAGTCGCCACTAACTATGAGCTGCCCTGCTTCTACAGGTCATTCCTCCTGGATAGCTTTCTGATGTGGTGGACCTGCATTTTTTCCCCTCAGTGTGCTAGGGGCAGCACCATAATTGTGTCCACTGCTGTGCAGGCTGGTGGTTCCTGGACTGGTACAGGATCTTGGACTACCACACTGGCTCAGGCACCCATGTAGTACTCATCCAGTATCCATAGGAAACTGAACCCAGAAACTTTTTAATTTACTGTCACTTGGAGCCTCAGAAAACTTGGTACTTTTAGGTTGAGTGTAAACAACGCTATTTTTTTCACCCTTTCAAGCTGGGAGTTTTTATAAAATGATTTTGCTCTTGTGGTGACCTTGGTCATGCTGTGAATTCAGTGTAATAAACTGAAGAATAGTGTACATGATGATCTTCCTTCCTTCCTGTAACACTGACTATGCAGTTTTGCTTTGTATGGCTTTTTCTAATTCACTCATTGTAGGTTCTCTTCCTTAATACATATTAAGCACTATGCTTCTCAACATGTGCTTAATAACCTGCAGGTACTGCTGGGTTTACAAAGTCAGTGTGAATTTGACATTTGAACTAAGTGAGTCTTTACTGCCTCCTTTCAAATATATAACCAAACATCAAGAAATACTTGGATATTAATGACAATATGACATGGCTTTGGTGTTGTTTGCTGTTAAGACAAGTGAATTGATTGAGTATCCTCGTTTTTATTGTCCTAGTCCTACCAATAAGAGCTAGAGCGTCGAACACAGTAGAGCCTCATTGCTTTCTGTGCATTCCTTTTGTTTTTGACTTTATCTCTTTGTAGTAAAAATGGCTCCAAAGAGGAAAACAAAACATCTTGGGAATCATGAAACAAACTAATTGCACTAAATTATATTTAATACTGATCAAGTTACAAAAGAAGATAGAAAGGGAAACTGCTGAATCAAATTGTATTTACAAAATCCAATCCATTAGCAGAAGTATTGACAAGGACAATGGCTTCATGGTGCACTACATATATTAATACAGAAGTCCTTGCTACTGAACATATAACTAAAGAAATCTTCTCAGACTTTTGAACCTGGGAAACTGACTTTTGGTAAACAGTCACACATTAACACTACCTGAGCACTGTGAAGATCTGAGAAACCTGTATCACCTTATGCAGCCTTTTAAAAACATAGGTCAGGAGTCATAATTTGCATCTTTCTGGATCTTATTACATTCCTTCCCATTCCCATAATTGTTTAAATATGTTTTACGTCCTGAGGTCTGGATATCATTTTGTACTGCTACCAAATAAATGGGTTTGTATCCACAAAAGCTTATATGAAAATAGAAATCCATTAGTTTTCCAGGTGCTGCCACATTTCCTTTTTTCCCTTTCCCCTTGCTTCTTTTTATGCTTTAGGTTTGTTAATTTTTCAAAATAAAAATGTTACTTGATTAATCAGGAAGTTAATTATAAATGAATATCCAAGTACAAGGTGTTGGTTATTACCTTTAAAGCCCCAAATGGCTTGGGTCCAAACTATCTTCGGGACCGCCTTCTCCCCTATAATCCTCTCCTGCACACTCCGGTCCTCTGGGAGGAGTTTACTCCAGCCACAAAAATCTAGGCTCTCGACTTCTTCCCAGAGGGCATTTTCCATCATCGTCCCTAGATTTTGGAACGGCCTGCCGGATGAGATCCATCTGCTCACATCCTTAGACAGCTTTAAAAAGGCTATCAAGACAGATCTCTTCTGGCAGGCCTTCCTAGTATAGATATCCTGGCCTCGGAAATCCTTTTAGGAGAATCCTCCAGGAACCTCTTTAGTTGCTACGTACAAGATACTGCTGTTTGCCATTGATTAATGCTGGCTGCATAATGTGGTTTGTGTAATTGTATAATGTTGTTGGCCATTTGGTCAGTTTTAATCTGTATGGTTTAATCTTTGTTGAATTTAATGCTTTTTTAAGGGGGGGGGATTACCACTAGCTGTGCCTGCGAATGGGGTGGGACTGAGAGAAGGACCTCTTCTGATGATTTCAAGTCCAGGCAAGCTCATACAGGGAGATTGTCTGTCAGATAGTTTGGATCTAAGCCATGCAGGGCTTTATAAGTTATAACCAACACTTTGAATTGTGTCTAAAAACTGGTAGCCAGTGGAGCTGTATGGCTTCTGTGTCAGGAAAATGACATGGATGTGACCACAAGGTGGAGCTGTAGGATAAGAAATGCAAGCAGCTCAGTTCCATGGGCAGGTGTGTGTGGGTTAGTTATTGGAAATATACACAGCCGAGATGCCTGATGCAACAGGCATTGTTAACTGCCTATAAAAAAGGAGATGGGAATCATCTCCAGTGTGGGTTTGTTGTGTATGGTGGTTGGCGGAGCAGTTTGTTGGAGTGTTGCATAGTTGTGAGTATTTGAGACGGCCATCCAATACTCTGTATGTATATATTGTACATAGTGCAACTAAAGCTTAAAGCCCTCATGTTGAGTGCAGCTGCCCTTGCTGCTGTCTTCATTTGGAAGAATGCCAGAGCTAAAGGCCGTGTGCTGCTGTGAAGGAATTATTCCTTCTCTGCCAGAAGTCCTTTTGCAGACAACTCTCTGAAATCCTTCTCCTGGCATCCTGTCGACGTGGAACAACTCTGCGCATGGCCGTGGTGGACACGGCACATCTTTCTACGCCCCAACATTTTTACCTTGTCCCAGTTAACACTCTGGCTGCAGCTTGTTATGCCAGTTGAAGTCTCTGAACACTCTGCAAAGGCAGCCCCATGTAAAGCATTTTATAGTAATTCAAACTGGCCAGAACACCAACAGGTGCCATCAGCTTTAGATGCACAGAAGCACTCCTGGCCACCACAGAAACCTGGGCTTCCAGGTTCAAGGCTGAATCCAGGAATATACCCAAGCTGTGAAGTTTCATCTTCAAGTGATCGGTACCCCATAAAGCACATGCTGATCCCTATTCTCTGATCTGCCTTTCAACTGACCAGCAGCATTTCTGTCTCACCTAGATTAAGCTTTGATTTCAAGGATAGAGGATAGCAATCTCAACAATATTACAGCATGTATTAACTTACCCAAGATGAGCTTGTGAAGTGTGTTCTGTGATGCTGCAAAGATCAATAACTGGAAGACAGCATGATCTGAGTTTCATACTACTGTGGTATGTCAAAACCTTTTCCAATTCTCCAGGTTGGCATGGTGGCAAGGTAGAGAAATGTAGGGGGAAGCAACAAATAATAACTTCCCCTGTTTTTCACCAATGAGATTCCTCACAGGGTTCAAAAACCTCCTCTGCAAATTTTGTATCTGTTTTAGATCCAATCCATTAGTTCAAATAGGAAAAAAAGTGGAGAATACTCAAGTTTGTATGTTTTAACAGTTTTAAATCAATTTGGTAAAAACATAGAACTTTTAAATTTATTTTCTGATAGTGTGAACCTAAAAGGCAGATAGAACGGAGGGGGGGGGAGATTGTTCTGACAATTGTTTATTGAGATCAGACCTAGGGCTACAAGGCAGTCAAATAAATGATAACATTGATCTTGCATTTTTTATTGATATGAAATTGGGTCTTTGGTGAACTGTCATTGCTTGACATGGTAACTAGATGAGCTTTTGTTTGTCCTTTACTGCTTATAGCTAGTTTCAGACTTCTAACAATGAAATAATGCCTTGTCAAAATTGATTTGACTGTCTTGTAGTTGTGCATCTGATCTCAATTAACCATTTTCAGAATAGTCTTTTTTTCTCATGTTCAATGTGACTTTCAACCCTCTTAGTTGTTTCTCTGTTACAATTGTATGGACTAGAACAAGACATCTTGTCAATAAATTGTCCAGCTTGTTGTAATGAAGTGGCTTGTAGTTATCAAAGACCTTCTTAAACAGCTTAATTGTTCAGAACTCTTTCTGCTAGAGTGCCCCTCTAGAAGTGAGACAGCAGTGCATGAAATGACACAGAAATTAACTAGCTTTTTTCTAATTAGTTGTCTGTCTTTGTACAGACCAATGCTTCTCAAATGATTCAGGTCTCTTGTTAGTTTCCTGCTAGTATCTTCTCCCATCCCCAGCTTCAGCAAAACACAATTGGTTAAAAACCTTTTGGATCTTGGTTGTATTAAACAAACTTCCCAGTGTACCTCCCACAAGCAAGTTGTAGTTCCCCTATTTAACAATCTCCAGCAATCCAGAGACATTTCAATTTTGCATTGTTTGGGGCACACTTATGCTTCTTCAGTCTTGTTGTTGTGTACTATCAAGTTGTTTCTGTCCTATGGCGATCCTAACACAAAATTTTCTTGGCAAGATTTGTTCAGAGTGGATTTGCCTTTGCTTTCCTCTGAGACTGAAAGAGTGTGACTTGTCCAAGGTCACCCAGTGCGTTTCCATGGCTGAATGGGGATTTGAACCCTGGTCTCCAGAGTCGTAGCCTAAGTCCAACCACTACACCATGCTGGCTCTCTTTCTTCAGTCAGCTGTTTCCTTAAGATGGGGAACTATTCAGTACTATTCAAATATATTCTGATTGCGGGTGGTTCATAGACACTCAAAACAAATGTGTGCAAATGGCAGTTTTGAATTGCTAGATAATGCAGTAAATATTTGGAATCGTTGCCACAGTGTGCCTACAGATTGGATGAAGGTCTTGCAACTTGGTCCTGATAAGATGGAGGTGCTATTAATGTGTGGTTTATCTGCTCAACTGAGTGTTGTTGAACTTTTTCGTGGGATGGCACAGGAGGAGGCAGCAGAGAACCAAAAGATTAAGTTCATATATCTCCCCAAAAGGTGTCAGGTTCATATATTAGGATGTGGAGAGTGATTTGCTCTTGGGTCCAGTATAGTTATTAGAGACACAGGTGGCCACAACATGAATAATAACGAATGAGGATTATCTAGTAATTATGACTATCTGGAAAGAGAAAACATAGCTACAGTTATCTTCACTGCCTGGCAACCTCTTGATTAGATTAACACAGTTCAATATACAGTTTAAGAAGCTGCCTTTGAAAATGGTCCAGAAATTTCATATGATCTAAAATAGGACTGGTAAATTTGTACAGGCCATCATCATGCTTTATAAACTACACCATGTTTTACTTTGATTTTATTTTGTTTTAACATTGAAGTATTGGTGTGTTGTGAATTATGTTCTGTGTTACATGCGTCTAACTTTTATTTTGTAAGATAGCTAGTAAGCTTCAACTATTTAAAGTTATCAAAATGTAATAGAAAGACAGGTATTTATATTCTATAAGTAGTCAAATATCAGAATTCTGGTTCAAAATTATAAACAACTAAGAAGCTAAATTTAGCAAGTGAGTGAAGGTTTTGAAAGACCTAGGTTATTAACATCTAAATGGCAATAAAACTGATGGCATCTGTTTTGCTAGGCAAAACAACACATTAAACCAAATCGTGTTATTTATAACATTTCCAGTTACAATAACAAAGGCTTAATTAATGATAGGTAGGGCCTGTAACTAGTAGCATTAGTGTATGTTGAACTGCTTAACTGAATAAATATTTTTGTCTGTTGAACCTATGCAAATTTCTGGATTTGATTTTGCAGCTAGCCATCTGAAATGGTTTTTCTGTCTTTGAGGTCGAGAATCCCAACTTATGTAAAGAACTCTTGGGTTTTTTTAAATCTACAAAATTTAAATCTACTAAAAAAATATTTTTTTGCCATGTTATAATTGGCCAAACTTTCCTCTAAATGTTAAAAAGTAATGTAGAACCTAGTGCATTTTATTCCGTACATGGCATAGATTAAGTAAATATTTTATTGCATGAATGCTGATTACAATATAATTGCAAACATTTGAACATTTGAAGGGAAATGTGAGGATCTTTGAAATGACGGAAGGCACGGATGTGCTCTACGCACTACATTTGGATTCCCACCATTTCACAGATCCTTGCATCTCTCTCTAGCCACATCTCCCCCCAGCATCACTGAAACAAAAAGTACACGAGATTTCTGGGCAGCTCACCAGCCATCTGTTTCTGCCTTATGAACAAATGAGCAGGAGTGCCACTGCCTCTGCCTTTCAGTTTTTGGAAGTTTTCGGGTTTCAGATTTCCAGAAAAGGGGTACTCAGCCTGTACAAAGGTATAGATTACTATATTATTATTAATCCTAATGACTGATGCTTAGTATTTTGGGCATTTTCCTAGCAATTTGGGTATGCTTTCTTTCTATTAACACTTTAGTGGTAATCAGTTTACAATTGTAGATCTGTACAGTCCTGACTCAAGGATGCTCTGGCTATAGGGTTTAAGATTAGGTGCAAGCTTTGGCAAGTTTCTTCTGTCTGGTCTCAGAAATGCTTTTCTGTCAGCACAACCTGATTCTGCCAACAATTTAAGGGAGCAAATTGTCAGCTGAACTGACCTGCTGTCTAAAATCTGCCAGCACAAGAGCAAAAAATAGATGGAGAAGGGGTGAGCCAGGAGAGGAGTTCAATTACAGCAGCTCTAAACTCAAGCCCAGCTACAGAGCCACAATTTTGGCTTAAAATTAGGCCTTGAAAGAGTCCTCATAAGAATTTCCAACTCTTAGCCTGGAAAGGGGTTTGGATTCAGTTGGTTGAATGTTTGCATGCCTTTTGCCAGTTAAGACTGTGCTCTTAATCTGTTGCACTGTTATACTAATTAAGTTTAAGATCATGTGACCAAAATGCTGCATGGCAACAGACAGGTGTTTGTAACCTGAACTGATAGAGAAACTGGTGCAGCAGTTCCCTGAGATGACTGCTGTTAATGGGTAAAATTTCAGGTCAGCAGGTAAACTGTACTAAAGGATATCAGATGCATTAGTTGAGGTAAAACAGCTTCGAGGAAATTGAAAGTCACAGTGAAGATGGGTTTGATTATTTTTTTATGGAATTAACTTTTTAATCTTGGTTAACGCTTCTACACTGTGTTGTATGTGTACAAAATTAAGACTGTTGTGCAAAAGCTTAATATAGTTGTGGAGGAATTTCACTTCTACACAAGTCAGTTAGATAAAAATAAAAGAAATCTTACATTATGGCAACATTAACATTGCAGTTTCAGTGGTACATTTGTATTTTCTTTTTTAAACAACTAGTGGTCTACAGTACAAAAGTACGCAAACTTATAAGTACCCCCCCCCAAAAAAGCTCCACAATGTTTACTTCCAAGAAAGAGTGCTTCATTTTATGGACTAAGTAATGTGCCACTGCCGACATAAACAGTATTGAGTTCAGTGGTACCTGTTCACAAGAAAGTGTGGATAACATTGCAAGTGTAGTAAATTAAAATCTATGCAGCATTTGCCACAGCATTTCTGTTAGTAAATTTTAAACGGTTTTTAAGCAGAGCTTAATGATAGAGAGGTCTTTTACTCTTCTAAAATTATGAAAAAGGGGCTAAAAGTATACACTATGTAAGATTTTCAGGGATTTGGAGAATTATGTGGAAACAGACTTAACACAGGAATTTTTTCAGCACATTACCTTTAATGGCCATGAGATGGTGCTCATCTCTTTCATTTTCAGTGGTGCTTATAAGATATGTATAATCATATGCATCAAATCACTTTAACTTAAGTCAGGGGGAAATGGTTTTGTTATACAGTATGCTCATAAAAGTTAAATTGTCAGGTTAATAACAATGCATGAAAACATTATTTAATTCTGTTTTAATCAGAAGAATGAGTACTGCTGACTAAGTAGTTAGATTACAATTATATATTAGTAAACTATAGTAATGGAAGCTACAGGTTGATTATCCCTTCTCCAAAATGCTTGGTATCAGAAGTATTCTGTATTTTGGAATTTGTTTTGGATTTTACAATACCTACTGCTGTGGGGGGATGGGACGTGAATTAATGTATTCAAAGAAGAAATAGAATTTTGATAACAATTAGTGAAAGGAAGGGTCCTCCCTCCACTCTGTCCCTTGCACATTGTTCACCAGAGCCCCACACATAGATGGGTCTTTGCAGTAGTGGGGGAGTAGCAGGAGGAGGTTACAATTTTTATCCAAGGCCCCATAAATCTAGGCAGTTCTGCCAATTGGTTATGATGTAGTAGTGGATTGCTTGCATTAACTGGTAGCTGGACTAGATAATGTTTGAACTGACCTCCAGTTCCATGATTTTTTTTTTCCTGTACAGGTTTCAGATTGCATGGTTCACTGGCTGTGGGTATTTTCAGAGTGTTGTCAGTTGCAAGAGGCACAGTTATTAGCATGCTACCAAAACAAATATTGATGATTGTTAACTATGTTATGACATACGCTGTAATGGACAAGAGGCCTTTTTTATTGTGATTTATGTATCCGGTGATAAACATTGTGTAAATAATGTATTGTAACACTCTGAAGACCAGGATTTGAATCCCCACCCAGTTATGGAAACCTACTAGTGATCTTGGACAGATCACATTCTCTCGGCCTCAGAGGAGGGCAAAGACAACCCCCTCTGAACAAACCTTGCCAAGAAAACCCTGTGATAGGCTTACCTTAGCTTACCTTAGGGTTCACTTGTAAGCACACAACAAGTTACTTTTAACACCCCATTTAGATGGATAGACTCAATCAAGGACGCCATGGGGCTGCCTCTGTAGGACCTGAGCATTGCTATTGATGACAGGGTGATTTGGATGCCTCTCATTCATAGGACAAAGTTGACCTGAGAGCATTTTAAAACAGTATAAACCTGTGCTATCTTAATTCCTACAAGATATTTGGATGACAAATGCATGGAATTTCAAGAAGCATGTGCTGAAGAATATGGCTTTTTCTTTTAATGAATAGCATTTCTTTGAGTGGCACTGGGAAGACCATATTGCCAAATTATTCAGAAGTGTGTGAAGATAAATGTAGCTGGAAAAGTATACAAGTCAGTAAACGTATGTTTAATATTTTTGAGATTGTTAAATCAGAGGGTGATATTTTCAATTATGTACATATAAAATTCATTAAAGGGCCAGAACAGATGGCCCTTTAAAGATACCTTTCAGGTGTCTTGGGAGTGCGGCGTTTACACTCTGCATGCTCACAAGACGCCTGGAAGCTGCTTGGAAGTTCAAATATGGGTGGTTTCAAGACGCTCCAGCGGCACAGCATTTACACACTGCATGCCACCAGAGCATCTTGAAGCCTCCATGAGACCGCAGCAGGGTTGGGAAAAGCTGGCTCTTTCCCGGTCCAAATAGGAGTGGATGTTTTCTGCTCCTATTTGGGCTGGGTTCAAGGTGGATTGGAGCCACCTTGTGTTTACTGTGGTCCCAATCTGTCTTTGGCAGGGTGGCTTCAAGCTGCCCCCTTCTTGCTAGTCTATTCCAGCCCTAAGTCATACTTGAACATCCTGTCACCCACAGCCTTCTATTCATATATGGTCATCCAGCAGGCGTGCAGTAAACCACCAATCCATGTTTGAGTGGCTGTGCAAAAAATAAAATTAAAACTAAAAATTAAAAAACATG